AGCAGGAGGCATCACAATATCAGATCTTAAACTATACTACAGAGCAATAGTAACAAAAACAGCATGGTATTGGCAACAAAATAGACATGTAGACCAATGGTACTGAATAGAAGACACAGAGACCAACCCACATAAATACAGTTATCTCATACTAGACAAAGGTACCAAAAATATACATTGGAGAAATGATAGCTTCTTCAACAAATGGTGCTGGGAAAACTATAAATCCATATGTAGCAAAATGAAATTAAACCTCTATCTCTCACCATGCATAAAAACTCTACTCAAAGTGGATCAAAGACCTAAAAATTAGACCAGAGACTCTGTGCCTAAAAGAAGAAAAGTTGGCCCAAATGTTCATCATGTCAGATTAGGCCCTGACTTCCTTAACAAGTCTCCTAAAACTCAAGAAATAAAATCAAGAATCAATAAATGGGATGCATTCAAACTAAAAAGCTTCTTCTCAGCAAAAGAAATAGTCATTGAGGTGAAGAAAAAGCTTATAGTATGGGGGCAAATTTTTACCACATGCACATCAGATAGAGCATTTGTATAGATCATCAGATAAAGTTCTTTGTCTATCTCCAGGATAGACAAAGAACTCAAAAGACTTAATACCAACAAAAACCCAAAAAACAACCCATTAATAAATAGCCTAAGGAACTGAACAGACACTTCTCAGAAGAAGATATACAAGTAACCAACAAATATATGAAAAAGTATTCAACATCTTTAGTAATTAGAGAAATGCAAATCAAAACTACTCTAAGATTTCATCTCACCACAGTCAGAATGGCAGTTATCAAGAATACAAGCATTGGGCTGGGGATGTGGCTCAAGCGGTAACACACTCGCCTGGCATGCGCGGGGCGCTGGGTTCGTTCCTCAGCACCACATACAAATAGAAAGATGTTGTGTTCACCAGAAATTAAAAAATAAATATTAAAAATTTCTCTCTCTCTCATTAAAAAAAATGACATTAAAAAAAGAATACAAGCATTAATAAGTGTTGGAGACACTAATCTCTAGGATATTTAAAGCATTCAAAAACATTAACACCAAGAAACCAAATAACCAAATCCATAAATGGGCCAAGGAACTTAACAGACACTTCTTGGAAAAGGATATAGAGGGCTGGGGATGTGGCTCAAACGTTAGCGTGCTCGCCTGGCATGCATGCGGCCCAGGTTCGATCCTCAGTACCTCATACAAACAAAGATGTTGTGACTGCCGAAAACTAAAAAATAAATATTAAAAAATTCTCTCTCTCTCTCTCAAAAAAAAAAGAAAAGGATATACAATCAATCAAAAAACATAAGAAAAAATGCTCAACATCTCTAGCAATTAGAGAAATGCAAATCAAAACTACTCTAGGATTTCATTTCACCCCAGTCAGAATGTTAGCTATTAAGAATACAAACAACAATAAGTGTTGGAGAAGATGTGGGGGAAAGGCACATTTTCCCACATGCTGGTGGGACTGCAAATTGGTGCAGCCAATCTGGAAATCAGTATGGAGAAACCTTGGAAAACTGGGAATGGAACCACCATTTGACCCAGCTATCCCACTCCTTGGTTTATACCCAAAGGACTTAAAAACAGCATACTACAGGGAAACAGCCACATCAATGTTTATAGCAGCACAATTCACAATAGCTAAATTATGGAACCAACCTAGATGCCCTTCAGTAGATGAATGGATAGGGAAACTTTGGTATATATACACAATGGGTTCAAATCTTAGCACCGCATATAAACAAATAAATAAATAAAAGTCCATCAATAACTAATAAAAATTTTTTAAAAAGAAAATAAAATTGTGGTATTTGCAGGTAAATGGATGGAAATGGAGAATATTATGCTAAGTGAAGTAAGCCAATCCCCCCCAAAATGAAAGGTCGAACATTTTCTCTGATTAGTGGATGCCTATCTATGATGGGGGTGAGGTGGGGCATGGTATGAATGGAGGATCTTTGGATTGGGCAAAAGGGGAGGGGTGAAGGGGTAGGAAAGATGGTGGAATAAGATGGACATCATTACCCTAGGTACATGTGATTGCATGAATGGTGCGTCTCTACACTGTGTATAACTAGAGAATTGAAATTTTGCACTCCATTTGTGTACAAGGAATTGAAATGCATTCTGCTGTCATGTAAAACTAAGTAGAACAAATTTTAAAAAAAATAAAATAATAAAAAAGTACTTTACAAAATCTTATTATCATTCTACTTATTAATGACACACTAGGTAGGAGATTTATATATGTGCACATATAGAGAAAGATTAGAGCCAGCATGGTGGCACATGCCTGTAATCCTAGGAAGCTGAGACAGGAGAATTGCAAGTCAAAGCCAGCCTTAGCAACTTGACGAGGCCCTAAGGATCTTAGTGAGACCCTGTCTCAAAATTTAAAAAAATAAAAAGGCAAGGGATGTGGCTAGTGGTTAAGCACTAGTGGGTTCAATCCCTGGAACAACAACCAAAAAATAATAATAATTTTTGGGGGGATGCTGGGGATTGAACTCATAGCCTGTCACAAGCTAGAAAAACATTCTACCACTGAGCCATCCCCAGCCCATCTTCATATATATTTAAATTTTAGGTTAGATGAACATTAATATTCCCAATCATCAGTTTACATTGTAAAACTTTTAGTATGGTAATAAGTGAGTAGTTGATGAGCATTAGGTGATTTCCAACATTTTACTAACAATCGCCTGCATGGCAGACAAAATTAAAATTAGAAAACTAAACAATTGCTTAAAGAGGGACCAAATGCTTAAGGACACACTAAAGTTTGCAAAAAAAATTCCCGTGCTGCATCAATATTACTGATTAATTTTCAACCAATGTATCATTTCCACCAATTTAGTTTTTTAGTTAATCATCTGTTGTTGCCTTCACAAACCTTTTCCTGGGTGCTCTCTGCATGCCCAAAATAGCTGAGTGGGAGCTATATACTCCAACCCTGTTTTGTGGATTGGGGAACAGAAATCTGAAGCAAGGAGTGAAACAGGGTTGGTTATACAGTGAATTTGATGTTCAGCTTGGACTCAAAAAACCCAGGTCAGTGTGCAAGGCATCAGAGCGGTGGGTCATATTGTAGCACAGAGAGGGAAGGGACTGTCTTCACTACCTCTAAAGCAACCAGCTCCATAAAATTTGCCTCAGGGCCCAACTCCAAAATAGCTCCTAATTCACTCCCATCTAATTCTGCCCAAGCTCTGGCCTTACCTGAGATCCCATCTCACTTTTGACCTTATCTTCTCTCTTACCCTGATAATATTCACAGGAAAGGAATAAAGGCAGGTCTCCTCCTCTTCCAGGCACATCTCTTCCTCCCTGAAGGAAGAAACCTAGCATCTTGATTTTACTTAGGATCTCCAGAGGGGAATTAAGGGCACAACCTTAGACTTCTGGGGCTGCAATGGAAGCTAGTTCCTAAAGGAGGGCTTCTGACTTCAGGAACCCTGGTACTGCAGCCTCCCCCTCCCCTGCTCTGCTGCCACCTGCTGGGCATGTTGGGATGGGTGTATCGGAAGCGACTGAGGCTATGCAGGTTCCAGACCTGGCCTGGTCTTTGGCACCCTCTAGAGGAATTTCATACATAGATTGGATTTTGAATAACTGAACTTTATACCCCGGGGGCTGCTGACCTCAGAAGCTCCCTGGACTTACTGCTTATTGTCCACCACTCCATTGGCAGGTGTCCTTGTGGTCTGCAGACCAACAACATCTTCCTTATGTCTTATCACTGTATCATCTGCTCAAATCCCCAGCTGCCACCTTGTCCTTCCAGACCCAGCCAAGATTTGACTCTAAAAGATCTCTTGGAGCTAAGTGTGATAGGACAGGTACTCGGGAGTCTGAAGCAAAAGGATTGGGAGTTTGAAGCCAGCCTAGTGACTTAGCAAGACCAAGTCTCAAAATTAAAAAAAAAAAAAACTTAAAAGGGTTGAGGGTGGCCGTGCTGGTACCAAAAAATAAAAAGGTTTGAGGGTGTTGCTCAGTGATAGAGTGCTTGCCTAGCGAGTGAGAAGCCTTGGGCTCAATCTCTAGTACAGCCAACAAACAAACAAACAAAATAACAAACAAAAACCCCCAACCTCTCAGACTGCAGCTTGTCTCCAGGCTCCATCCTGACCCCATCTTGGTCACTGAGCTCCTACAGCCCTGAGCTCGATCCCTCACGATCCAGCTTTGCTCCATCATGAGGCCTTCATTGACTTCCCTAAGGGAAGCATTTTCCTAAGGACAGGGCCTAGGTTTCCCCCTCTTGGCCTCAGACAGGGGGCCCCTAGGGGACTAGGCCTGGGTTCCCCCTCCCATCTGGAATGGGATTTCCCTGAAAATATTGCTTTTGTGTCCTTCCCTTCAGAATGGGGCCCTTGAGGACAGTTCCTGAGTCCCCTTCCCTACTTCAGGTCAAGGACTCCCTGAGGACGGACTCAGAATCTATTCCCCCACCCCACCCCCAGTTGACTACTGATCTCCAGAAATTTCTACCTCCAGTCCCTATTCTGTAGCTGGCGGCCTAGGAGCCTCTGTAGCCTTTTGCCAGGTTTGGGACCCTGGAAGAGCTACTTTAGGTTCTGGTCCTGGAGACAGGCCCAACATCTGGCTTAGAGGATCGTTCTTTCCCTTGGGACTGAGAGGAGAAAAGTGCCTACCTGGAGTTCCACAACTGACTTCACAAGGGCTGCCTCAGAACTTACTTTCCAGGGTGCCATTGGCAGGCGGAGGAATGCTATTTTGGGCAGTGCGTCTGGACTTGGCTCAAGTGGCCAAACCCCTGTCCTACTGACCTCTCCCCTGGAGGGGCAGGAGCAGCACTTGAGGCTGCTCTGGGAAGGGCTGAGGGGCGGGCTCTGGACTAGGGACAAAGAGATAGTTGAGCTGCAACTAGGGGTGCAGACTGTGCCAACAGTAATGGAGGAACAAGACTGAGACCTACTTTAACTGAGAAGCCCCCAAGATAAAGGCTGAGACACCTAAGGCACTTCAGCAGAGTGAGTGGGGATTCAGGCAGGACTGGGGCAGGGTGGTCTTCTCAAGGTGAAATCCTGGAAGGGCCATGGGGGAATCATGTGGAGAGGAGGTGGCTGAAGGATTGACTGTGAAACAAGCACTAACTGGGGGAGTTGAAGGCTTGGCTTTCTGTTCTGGTTCAGTCCTGTGTTGCTGTGTGATATGAGCACATAGCACCCTCTCTCTGGGCCACAGTTTCCTTACCTGTTAGTTGACTTCTGGGACGACCAGAGCAGCTTGGTGGAACAGACTGAGAGAATGCATTGGGCTGGGAAGTCAGTAGAGCACAGGGGTGGGAGGAGAAGAGAGCTGTAGAGGATTTACCCTGGACCAAGGCAAAAGGGAGGCAGGTCACGGACAGGCCAACTGTTAGCTTGCAGAAGCATCTTCTCCCTGGGGTCCCCCTCCCTTGGTGCTGGAGAGTTTCTGCCTTCAGAGTTGAGGATTATGAATTTGTGCTGCAGTCAGAGGAGATTAGGTTAGAGAGTGAGGTCATGCTGGGCACGGTGGCACATACCTGTAATCCCAGTATTTTGGGAGGCTGAGGCAGGAGTATAGTGAGTTCAAACCCAGCCTCAGCAACTCAATGACACCCTGGTCTCTAATAAAATATAAAAAAGGGCTGGGAATGTGGTTTTGTGGTTAAGCACCCCTGGGTTCAATCCCTGGGTGCGGGGAGGTGGGGGGAGAGAGAGAGGAGAGAGAGAGAGAGAGAGAGAGAGAGAAAGAGAAAATAGGATGAGGAAAACGCAAGGGTTATTTTCATGCTGTCAGTTTGAGAGAAAAATAGGAGTGGCTGTGGGGGGGGATGTTTGAGGAAAAGTATGTGTGTGGGGGGGTTAGTCTTTGTTCTGAGGTGGAGGCATGGGCTAAATGAGTTTTCAGGGCCACATCCTGTGTGCATGAGTGTAGGGAAGAGGTCCTGAAAAGTCACAGTTTAAATCATCAACAAGTGAGCTTGAGGTTAGATTAAAGGCATGATATCTGTTATGAGAGGCTGGAGTCACTGAGGGGAGGCTGCAGACCTTGCACTGTCCAAAACTGAGTGTGTTGCAGACTTGGGAAGGTCAGGAGGACCTCTGAAGGGCCTGGCCCAGAAGTCAGGGGTCCTGAGGCCAGCATGGGTAGAGGGGTGGGGACTCCAGGGCCTCTTGCTATTGGCTGAGGCACACCCAGTCATGCCAATTTGGCTGAGTTGAGGGGGTGGCACTAGCAGGAGCTAGCTGCCCAGTGACTTCTCCCCTGTGGGACTGAGTCTGATGGGAATGTGGGACGGCGTTCTGCATCCCGCAGCCCAGTGACCTCTCTTTGGCTTCACAGCATCTACAAATCTGAAGGACAAGATATGGCTCAAGTAGGTGGGCAGAGGCGGTAAGTATCCCACCTCATTCCCCATCTCAGCCTCCTGCCCTCCTCCAGGAACACCTTAGTGTCCCCCCTGTCCTGTCCTCAGCTTCTCCCTTCTGGCAGCTGCTCCCCTAGTCCCCATCCTTCCTGCTTCCCTCGAAGCCCATGGATGAGAGAAGTGTGTCTCCTGCCTGTCTCTCATGTCCTCACAGCACAGGTAAGCCCAGGCTGGGCCCTGGGGTGAGGGGCTCAGAGAGACAAAGGGTTCAGGGGTTGGTCGGTATGTTCTGACTGCCCCTCTCAGCTGAACTGAACTTCCCATTTCTTGGCCCCTTGGGATGGAACAAGAGCCAGAGTTTTTGCACCATCTAATCCCCTTTAGCTCTCTGCGGATCCCCACCCCCGCCTCACTGTCCCTCCTGTAGCCACACACAACCTTGGCTTTCTGCAGGCAGCTCAGAGTCCTTCTGTGACTCATCCCTCTGCCTGAAGTGCTCTCCCACAGTTATCTACTTGGTGCCTTCCTTCCCCTCCCTCATGTCTAGTCAAAGGCCATCTTCTTGGGGCTGGGATTGTGGCTCACGTGAGAGAGGCATTGGGTTCAATCCTCAGCACAGCATAAAAATAAATAAAGGTTAAAAAAAAAAGACACTTCTTTTTTTTTTAATTTTAATATTTATTTTTTAGTTTTCGGCGGACACAACATCTTTGTTGGTATGTGGTGCTGAGGATCGAATCCGGGCCGCACGCAAGCCAGGCGAGCGCGCTACCACTTGGGCCACATCCCCAGCCCAACACTTCTTAAAAAAAAAGAAAAAAAGTCCATCTTCTCAATGCAGCTTACTCTGCCTACTCCACTTACAATCATACTCCACGCCTACCAGCTCTCCCTTTCCTTACCCCAGTTCCCCCATGGGTTCTACTACTTTCTTACCCATGAATGCACTTGCCGTCAGCTCCACAAGAGCAAATTTGCCATTTGTGTACTCTTAGATTGAGAGAATGAATGTTCCTCCCTCCTGTCCCGATGAGATTGCTGTGTCCAGCCCACATCTTCCTCCTGGGCTTTAGACACCAAAGACCTGTTGGTGTCCTACAGACAACCCAGATCCTAGTTGAAAACAGCCTCCTTCACTCCCTCTGAGTCTATTCCTCTGCCTGTGACCTCAGCTCAGTCAGGTGTTCCCTTCTCAGTTGCTCAAGCCAAAAGTCAAGGACACATCCTTGATATTTCCCTCACATCTAGTCATATCTAGAAATATCTAGAACGTGTATGCCTCCCACCATTGATTCTACTACCACCCTACTTCCTCACAGCCAGTGTAATCACCACCTGCCCTCTTCTTCCTCTTTATCCTCCATACCCCAGCATCTCTCTCCTCTCCAGTCCTTTCCAGTCTTTTCCTAGTTTAGTCCTCCCCCTCACAGTCATTGGGACCTGAAATTCACTTAATTTTTTTTTTTTCGTACTGAGGATTGAACCCAAGGGCACATAAGCACTGAGCCATCCCTAGCCTTTTTATTTTGTATTTAGAGACAAGGTCTTACTGAGTTGCTCAGGGCATTGCTAAGTTGCTGAGGCTGGCTTTGAACTTGTGATCCTCTTCAGCATCCTGAGCTGCTGGAATAACAGATGTGCACTACTGCACCTGGCTTTTTATTATTATTTGTTCTACTTAATTGTACATGACAGCAGAATGCATTTTAATTGCTTGTATACAAATGGAACACAACATTTCAGTTCTCTGGATGCACCATTTGTCCAATCATACATGTATCTAGGGTAATAATGTTCATTTCATTCCACCATCTTTTCTACCTCCACAACCCCTCCTCACCCTCCCCTTTGCCCAATTCAAATTTCTTCAATTTTTTACCCCCACCCCATCATAGATCAGCATCCACTAATCAGAGAAAACATTCGGCCTTTAGTTTTTAGGATTGGCTTACTTCACTTAGCGTAATATTCTCCAACTTTATCCATTTACCTGCAAATGTCACAATTTTATTCTCTTTTATTGCTGAGTAATATTCCATTGTGTATATATACCACCATTTCTTTATCCATTCATCTACTGATGGGCATCTAGGTTGGTTCCACAGTTTAGCTATTGTGAATTCAGTTGCTATAAACATTGGTATTGCTATGTCATTATAGTATGCTGATTTTAAGTCCTTTGGGAATAAATCAAGGAGTGGGATAGTTGGGTAAAATGGTGGTTCTATTCCAAGTTTCCTGAGGAATCTCCACACTGCTGTCCAATGCGGTTGCAACAATTTGCAGTCCCACCAGCAATGTATGAGCGTACCTTTTCCCCACATCCTCTCCAACTCTTATTTATTATTGCTTGTATTCTTGATAACTGCCATTCTGATTGGGGTGAGATGAAATCCTAGAGTAGTTTTGATTTGCATTTCGCTAATTACTAAAGATGTTGAACACTTTTTCATATATTTGTGGTTCGTTTGTATATCTTCTTCTGAGAAGTGTCGGTTCAGTTCCTTAGGCCATTTATTGATGGGCTGTTTCTTTTTTCCTTTTTCTTTCTTTTCTTTTTTTTTTTTGGTAGTAAGTCTTTTGAGTTATTTGTATATCCTGGAGATTAGTGCTCTATCTGTTGTACATGTGGTAAAAATTTGCTCCCATACTGTAGGCTCTTTCTTCACCTCAATGATTGTTTTTTTTTTTTTTTTTGCTGAGAAGAAGCTTTTTAGTTTGAATGCATCCCATTTATTGATTCTCTTTTTAAAATATTTTTTTAGTTGTTGATGGACCTTTATCTTATTTATATGTATGTGGTGCTGAGAATCGAACCCAGTGCGCCACACATGCTAGGCAATCACGCTACCACTGAGCCACAACCCCAGCCCCGCATTTATCGATTCTTGATTTTATTTCTTGAGCTTTAGGGGATTGTTAAGAAAGTCAGGGCCTAATCTGACATGATGAACATTTGGGCCTACTATTCCTGTATTAGGTGCAAGGTCTCTGGTTTAATTCCTAGGTCTTTGATCCACTTTGAGTTGAGTTTTATGCATGCTACATATGGATTTCCAGTTTTCCCAGCACCATTTGTTTAAGAGGCTATCATTTCTCCAATGCATGTTTTTGGTACCTTTGTCTAATATGAGATAACTGTATTTATGTGGGTTGGTCTCTGTGTCTTCTATTCAGTACCATTGGTCTACATGTCTATTTTGTTGCCAATATCATGCTGTTTTTGTTACTATTGCTTTGTAGTATAGTTTAAGGTCTGGTATTGTGATGCTTTTTTTTTTTTTTTTTTTTTTGCTTAGGATTGCTTTGGCTATTCTGGGTTTCTTATTATTCCAAATGAATTTCATGATTGCTTTTTCAAGTTCTTTGAAGAATGTCACTGGGATTTTAACAGAAATTGCATTAAATATATATAATAGTTTTACACTAAATCTGTATAACGTCCATTTTGACAATATTAACTCTGTCTATCCAAGAGCCTGGAAGATCTTTCCATCTTCTAAGGTCTTCTTCAATTTCCTTCTTTAGTGTCCTGTAGTTTTCATTGTAGAGGTCTTTCACCTTTTTAAAATTTATTACCAAGTATTTTATACTTTTTAAGCTATTTTGAATGGGGTAGTTTTCCTAATTTCTCTTTCAGTGGATTCATCACTTTTGTATAGAAATGCATTTGATTTATGGGTATTGATTTTATATCCTGCTACTTTGCTGAATTCATTGATTGGTTCTAGAAGTTTTCTGGTGGAATTTTTTTGGACCTTCTAAATATAGAATCATGCCATTGGCAAATAGTATTAGTTTGAGTTCTTCTTTTCCTATGTATATCCTTTTAATTTTTTTAGTCTATCTGATTTCTCTGGCTAGAATTTCAAGGACTGTGTTGAATAGAAGTGGTGAAAGAGGGTATCCCTGTCTTGTTCCAGTTTTTAGAGGAAATGCTTCCATTTTTTCTCCATTTAGAATGATGTTGGTCTTGGGCTTAACATAGATAGCTTTTAAAATGTTGAAGTTTGATCCTACCATTCCTAGTTTTTCTAGTGTTTTGAACGTGAAGAGGTGCTGTATTGTATTGAATGCTTTTTCAGCATCTATTGAGATAATCATATGATTCTGCACCTGACTTTTTTAAAAAAAATATTTATTTATTTATTTTGGTGCCAAGCATTGAACTTAGGGATGCTTAACCACTGAGCCACATCCTGATACCTTTTATTATTATTATTATTATTTATTTTTTAGTTGTGGTTGGACACGATACCTTTATTTTATTTATTTTTATGTGGTGTTGAGAATTGAATCCAGGTCCTCGCATGTGCTAGGTGTACACTCAACCACTGAGCCACAACCCCAGCCCATTATTATTATTATTATTATTAAATTTATTTTTTAGTTGGACACAATATCTTTATTTATTTATTTTTACGTGGTGCTGCAGATGGAACCCAGGGCCTTGCACATGCTAGGTGAGCACTCTACCGCTGAGCCACAACCCCAGCCCTATTATTATTTTTTAAAAAATATTTTTTAGGACTGGGGATGTGGCTCAAGCAGTAGCACGCTTGCCTGGCATGCGTGTGGCCCGGGTTCGATCCTCAGCACCACATTCAAACAAAAATGTTTTGTCTGCCGAAAGCTAAACAAAATAAATATTAAAATTTAAAAAAATGTTTTTTAGTTGTGGATGGACCCATACCTTTATTTTATATTTTTATGGGGTGCTGAAGATCAAACCCAGTGCCTCACATGTGCTAGGCAAGTGCTCTACCACTGAGCCATAACCCCAGCCCTATTATTATTTTTTAAAAATATTTTTAGGGGGCTGGGGCTGAGGCTCAGTGATAGAGTGCTAGCCTGGCACGTGTAAGGCTCTGGGTTTGATCCTCAGCACAATATAAAAATAAATGCATAAAATAAAGGTATTGTGTCCACCTACAACTAAAAAACTACATATTTTAAAAAATATTTTTTAATTGTCAGTGGACTTTTATTTATTTATATGCTTTGCTGAGAATTGATCCCAGTGCCTCACACACACTAGGCCAGTGTTCAACCTCTGAGCCACAACCCCAGCCCCGCCCTTTTATTATTATTATTTTATTTTTGAGACAGGGTCTCACTAAGTTGCTTAGGTCATTACTAAGTTGCTGAGGTTGGATTTGAACTTGCAATGCTCTTGCCTTAGCCTCCAGAGCCACTGGAATTACAGATGTGCTTCACCATGCCCAGCATCTTTCTGTTCATCCATCTGTGTATTTAGCTCTGGGATTTAGTTGAGAGTAAGAGACAGGTTCCCCCAGTTTTCATTGATCCAACCAATACATCTTCTATGGGCTTGGCACTGTGTTAGGCACTGAGGATAAACCAGGAAGTAAGATCCTATCCCATCTGTCCGTCCATTCTCCCTCCCTCTCTCTTATTCATTCATTCATTCACTTACAGATATCTCTTTGTGCTGACCTAGCTATACAGCCTGGTTCATTTTGCTGACACCTTCATCTTGGCAGAGGCTGGTGCACGTTTCAGGCCTCAGTGCTGTTTATAGAACCCAGCATCAGATTTTGCCACACCCCATGCTGTTTGAAAAGTGCCTCACTATTGCCAGATCCTGGTCTGTGACCCTCAAGTTCTGGCTCCTGCAGTTAGGCAGACGGATAACTGAGCTCCACTCTTCAGCCTGCTCTCTCCTACCCTGCTTCTCCTAGCAGCTCCTCAACACTTCAGGTTGCACTTTCTGCTGCCCAATGACCCCCTCTACAAAGTGGCCACATTGGTGGGTCCTTCCCACTTGTCCATTTCCTGTAAGAAGGAAGAAGGAGCCTGATTGGGCCATCTGCCCCAGTTCCTCTCCATGATCCTGTGGCTCTCGGGTGTCTCTGATCCCAGCTGTCCTAGCTGCCCTGGGCACAAGGAAGCTTATGTGGAGAAGCTGCAGGGTTACCTATTAACTCAGCCAGGAGTTGAAGGGCTGATGGGCAGTAGGCGGACTTGACTTTCCTTTCCGTCCATGGGCTTGGGCCGCTGCTTCAGATCCAACAGCAACTTCAAGATGGTCTCCTGGTCCGTGCTAATGAGGATACAAGCAACACTGCAGAAGGAGATGGTGCGGGAGTTCCTGGCTGAGTTCATGAGCACGTATGTCATGATGGTGAGTGGATGGGGGGCATGGGGTGGGGGAGTGCAGCAGGGGCAGTCCACAAATCTCTCCCAGCACTGATCCCATGAGGCATACTGTTACTTCCTCTGCCTCTGATCTGGGAGTCTGAGAAGAAAGCACAAGAAAGTAGGTGAAAGGCTTTGCTCAACAAGTCCTTTTGGGACAGAAAGGGCTCATAATAAACCAGGACAGGGTGAAACCATGAGCTGAGGAGTCAAGGGGCATAGATGGCAGTGGGGAAAAGGAAAACCAAGGGTAAAGGGGCTGCTGAAAACCTTGAATGTCAGGCTTTGAAAATTAATTTTAAGGACAATGGGGAGACATTGAAGGTTATCAAGCAGGGGAGTAATATGGCCATATCTGGATTTAAGAAGATAGCTTTTGGGCACAGTGTGGAGACTAAGCAGAAAAGGCTAGGCTGGAGGGAGAGGAGCCAGTTAGGAGGCTGATCTAGATGGAATAGAGAGAGGGCTGTGCCAGGCATGGCGGCACATACCTGTAATCCCAGCGGCTCAGAGGTTGAGGCAGGAGGATCGTGAGTTAAGGCCCTAAGCAACCTAGTGAGACCCTGTCTCTGATTAAAAAAAATATATATCTATATCTATCTATCTATCTATCTATCTATCTATCTATCTATCTATCTATCTATCTATATATATATAAAGTGGCTCAGAAGTTGAGCACCTCTGGGTTCAATTCCTGATACCAAAAAAAAAAAAAAAAAAAAGAGGAGGAGGGCTGTGACATGGTTGGGGATGGCAAAGAAAGCCCATATATAGAATTGTAGGAGATGGAGGAGACTTTGCAAGCAACAGATGTCTAATACGCCATTCTGGAGCATGGAGCTCCTCACAAGAAGAGGTGAGATTGGTTTGGACGTGATCAGGTGAGATGTCAGTGGAGAATTCAAGAGGTAATAAACTGAATACAAGGCTCTGGAGTTCCAGAGAAGTTGGGCTGGGAGGAAAGAGAGGAAATGCATTAAATTGGGTAAAATTGTGCAGAGAGAATGAACCTGTGTGAGAAGGACTCTGGACACCTGGTTTCTTACCCTAACCCACAAAGTCACCAGCAGGTCTTGGGCAGGTCTCTTCTGGCTTTGAGCTTGTCTTCTCAGTTTTCAAGTATATAGCATCTAGCCTTCACAGGCTTTGGAGCTATTTGTGCTCTGGCTCTGCTATCTTCTAGCTGTGTGTGATCTTCCACCAGCATTTAAACTGCTCAGAATGTTAGTTTCCTTTTGGAAAATGGGGACACTAGCATCAAGGTGGCAGACTTGTGTGAAGAAGGCCAAGTGCCAACACTCAGCACAGAGGTGTTGATACATATGTGTTGGTCCTTGTTATTATGACAAGTGCTCTCAGCTGCTTTTTCTTCCCAGCATCCCATTCTCTTACCCTCCTCCCTTACCTGCTTTGCCTCCTGAGCTGTAAGGACAGCAGCCAGATCCTGTCCCTCCTTGATCCAGGAGAAAGTAATTCATTTATGACAAGACATTCTAGTCCCATGAGGGCTGTTAAACCTTGGAACCTCAGAGGCAGGAGGGTGCCTCTTTGGAGAGCCTTAGGGAAAGCAAGCACTGCCCGCATGCCTTGATCTACCTTCCCTTTTTTTTTAAAAAAAATTTTATTTAGATAATTGTTGAGCACTTACTGCATACCAAACACTCTGATGCTAAACCCCTTACATGTGGCATCATCCCAAACCCTCACAATGACCCTGTGAAGTAGGTACTGTTGTTAGCCCCCATTTCACAGATGGGGAAACTGAGGCTCTGTGAGACTAAATCATTGGTTTAGTCATACTTTAAGATTAAATCCATAAGGGAATCCCATTATCATGCCCACCCACAAGCATGGGGTCCTAATTAGAGTAAGATATATTCTATACTTAAATAATGTTATCAAAATTGATTCTACTGTTATGTATAACTAAGAAGAACCAATAAAAAATACTCACAAAAAATTAAATCTAGCCAAGTCTAGTATTAATTATTTTTCTTTTGGTATGGACATCTGAACCCAGAGCCCTTTTTATTTTCTAATTTGAGACAGAGTCTCACTCAGTTACCCAGGCTGCCCTCAAACTTGAAATCCTTCTACTTCAGCCTCCCAAGTCACTGGGATTTCAGGTACACACCACTATGCCTGGTTTAATATCATAATCTTGACCTTTAACCTCTATGGTCTGTCCCTTAGTTTAGAGATCACAGGCTCTCTAAGGCTGTCTTGTTAACTCCCCACCTGCTATGATATGACCCTTGCTTTCAGGCATTGGGTAGTTCAAGACCCCTGTCTGGGCTGCAGTTTTTCTACAGTGGGAGCAAAAACACTTGCTACACAGATTTGCTGTGATGATTAAAAGGAAGCAATGCTTTTAAAAGAACGTTGTGAGGTTTAAGCTCATGCAGGACATTGTATTGTTGTTATTTTTAGTTGCCAGATCTGTGCCAAGAAGTGGGGGCTTTTTCAGTTGATAGGAAGCTCAGTGAATCACCAGGGTAAAGGTTTTTGACAAAAAAAAAAAAAAAAAAGCTAGTGTGACCTTGGGTCCCATTTATTGCAGCCAGGATGAGGGAAGTGAGCTATTCTACTCTATAACCTCTAAGGTTATTGTCCTCAAAGCTTCCTGGCTATTGGGGGGACTTTGATGGGCTGGGACTTTGATTCACTTACCAGAGAGGGGAGAGGCTGGAACCATCGGTTCCCTGGAAACCCAAAGCTGTGTATGTGAGCAATAGGGCAAGGGTTGCAAACTCATATGCTACAGGGGCCAAGAATGTCAACTCCGGGTGGTAGGGACTTGGACACAGAGTACAGACCTGTGTAAGGGTGTAACTGCCACTGCTCCAGCTGGCTGATACCATGGAGGTGGAATACAGGCCAGCATGGCCTCAGCTTCTTATTTTGCAAGAGGACCTGAAACTTCTGTTTTTTAAAACCAAAACCTGTGTGCTGGATGGATTAGGTATGTGTATTGCCAATTGGCAACTCTGATACAGAGAATCATGTGGGATTAATTCACTCATTCATTATTTTTCTTTTTTTTCTTTTTCTTTTTGGTGCCAGAGATTGAACTCAGGGGTGCTGAACCAGTGAGCTACATCCTCAGCCCTGTTTATATTTTATTTAGAGACAGGGTCTCACTAAGTTGCTTTGCACATCACTAAGTTTCTGAGGCTGGCTTTGAACTTCTGATCCTCCTGTCTCAGCCTTCCCAGCTGCTGGGATTATAGGCATGCACCGCTATGCTTGGCTCATTCATTATTTTTCAAAAAACATTATGTTGACATGGGGAAAACAGAAATGAGGGACCCTCAGTCTTTAGACTCTCCATGCCTGCTTCAGTCCCTTCACCCCCTGGGAGGTCCCCCCAACTAGCCTGGCATGGCCTCACTCCTCCTATTCCTGTCAGTTCCTGTCCTCTCCTGCTGCATCCTCTCCTGGCCTTAAGCCAGCCATCTCTGGGCTTCCTTGCACCTTTCCTGGATTCCTGAGGGAACCAGTGAGCCATGCTCAACCAATTCCCTGTCCTTTGTCATACCTGGCTATTTCACACTTTCTCAGACTTCCTTGAAACTGCTCTACATCTGCCTGTTTTTATTTTTTTATTTTTTAATTAGCAAATAGTTTGATCTCCTGGTTGACAGAGAAAATCATTGGGCTAGCTTCCTGTGTTTCCTGGAAACCCAGCTATGTATGTGTGTCTACCTCCTTTTGTTCCTGTCCCTCTCACCACTTGTTACCTACCTGTGCATCCACACATTTCTCCTAAGCTAGGGTGTGTCACCTCCTTCCCGGAGGACTCCTCTGCTTCAGTCCATTCTTCCAGCCCACTCAGGCCCTTTGCTCTTTTTTTCTTTCTTTCCTCTATCTTCAGCACGCCCACCCATAAACATACCAAAATCTCTCCACTTAACAGAACAAAATATCTCTCCCTTCATCTTGTGAACCTGTCATTTATCATACACTCTCACTTCTCAAAGAAGTTCTCAAAGAAGTCTCTATACTGGTACATTTTCATTCTCATCAGCTGGGATTGTAGCTCAGTGCTGGAGCACTTGCCTAGCATGAGTGAGGCCCGGGGTCCAATCCCCAGCACTGAAAAAAGTTACCTCTGCTGGGCGTGGTGGTGCCCAACTGTAGTCCCAGATACTCTGAAAGCTGCAGCAGAAAGATAGATCCCTTAAGCCCAAGAATTTGAGGCCAGCCTGGGCAACATAATGAGACCCTGTCTCAAATAAATGAATTCTTCCTTATCGCCTTACCACTTACCTATCAATCTTTCCTGGCTTCTGCCCCAACCCCCCACACCCATGGCCTGATAACACAGTGCTCATCATGTTACTAATGACTGCTGGATTGCCATCCAAAGGAATGTGCTTTCCAGGCAGGTCTTCATACTTGTGATCCAGAGGCTGCATATGACTAACCGAGTTGACCATGCCCTCCTCCTTGGGAAAATCTCTCCTTGGTGCACTTTCTTTGTTCTCCCATTTTAATGCCTGCTCAGCTGAGGTTTCTAACATCCACCCATAAATGCTGACTCTAATCAGCCTCCAGCTGTGTGCACCCCACTTCTCCTGGGGCCCTATTCACCCATGGTTTCATTGCAGTTCTCATGTCCATAATTATTTAGATTTTCTATTTCCTAAGCTTTAGAGCAGAACTGGTCAAGGGAAATAGAATTTGAGTCACATACTTTAAAATTTTCTAGTAGCTACATTAAAAAAGTAAAGAGCAACAGGTGAGAATAAGTTGTATGCTATTATATTTAACCCATGAATCCAAAATCCAACATGTAGTCAACATAAAATCGTTAAGCTAATTCACATTCTCCACTTCCAACTAAATCTTTGAAATCTGGCATGTGCTTTACACTTAGAGCAGATCTCAATTGGACAGTCCCATTTTAAGTGCATAACAGCTGCATGTGGTCACATAATTAGATATCCTTTTTTTTGTTGTTGTTGTTATTTGGTTCTGAGGATTGAACCCAGAGGCACTTAGTCACTGAGTTATATCCCATACCTTTTTTTTAATATTTATTTTTTTAATTGTAATTGGGCACAATACCTTTATTTTTATGTGGTGCTAGGATTGAACCCAGGGCCTTGCACATGCTAGGTGAGTGCTCTACCACTGAGCAACAACTCCAGCCCCAGCCCCAGACCTTTTTATTTTTTATCTTGAAATAAGTTCTAAGTTTATGTTGGCCTCACTAAGTTGCTGAGGCTGGCCTTAAACTTGCAATCCTCCTGTCTCAGCCTCCTGAGTCACTGGGATTTCAGGTGTGTGCCACTATGCCTAATTTTTCATATGTCTAGATAACTTGCATAACACATACCTAGACTCTGATTTCTAGAAGGTGGACCTAAAACACATGGACATTTCAAAGAAGGTGACTTCTGAGTTTGATCTTACAAAATATTAAGTTTTTCAGAATATAGGATCAAGTATTCCGACAGAAGGAACAGTATATCCAACACAGAGGCCTGAGACAGCAAGGAATGCATGGAGTAATGCAATTGTTTGATTTGAGACCATCTGTCATGGATCTGATCATGTTTCACTGTGTTACAGGCTGTGTGACCTTGGATAAGCCATTCAATTTCTTTTTTAAAAAATATTTTTTTAGTTGTTTATTTTATTTATTTGTATGTGGTGCTGAGAATCGAACCCAGTGCCTCACACATGCCAGGCAAGTGCGCTGCTGCTGAGCCCCAGCCCCAGCCCCACCATTCAATTTCTTGAAGCTTCACTTTGCCTATCTATCAGTTGGGGAGAATAATAGTGCTCCGCATAGAAATATCCTTCAGGTTGGCCTGAAGTGTAAGATGCTTTGAGGGGTGCAGTTCACACCAATTATGGCTTCTTTGAAGCCCTGCTCACAACCCAAACTACAGGTGTGGGCTCAAGGTCAAGGTGCCTGGATATATCTTAGGAGCCTCTGACTTTCCCACCCGTCTCTGTCTTCTTTCAAACCCATCACCTAGCTCTCACTGGCTCAGGTATGAGAGATCTCTATGGGGTAAGGGAGAAGAGGCCATGAGAGAGAAGGCTCTGGAAAAAGAGGGCACAGCAGAGGGTCTTTAAGGGCAATACTGGGGAGGCCTAGGACATGGGGGTGGTGAGGAGCTAGAACTGACTTCAGAGCTCTCCTCTGGGGTTGGGACTTCTGGGCAGGCAGCCACTTCAGAAACCTTTTTTTTTTTTTTTTTTTTTTTTCAGGTATTTGGCCTTGGTTCTGTAGCCCAAATGGTTCTAGGAGGGAAAAAATTTGGGAGCTACTTGAGTGTCAACTTGGCTTTTGGCTTTGGAGTCACCATAGGAATGCATGTGGCAGGCAACATCTCTGGTGAGTAAGCCCAGACCCCTTCTGATTGGGCAAGACCAGGTATTCCTGGCAAGCTGTTTCCTGCCCACCTCCAGCTAATCTTGTCTCTGATACAGCTGGTGCCTCACCCTTTACTGGCTACCTGAAGGGAAGATGTGCTTCCAAACCCCTTGCCTTGGCTGCGTATCTTCCCCAGACTGTTCATGAACCCTTTGGCAGTGCCCCTGCCCCTGCCCTTTTTACAAGCTGGGTCATCTTAGGGAAATTATTCACCTCTGTTTCTCATTTTCCTTGATGGTGAAATGGAGATGGTGGTCCTTACTTTGTGGCGACTATTGTAAGGGTTCAGTGAGAAAGCCTTTGTTACAGTACACACTCCATAAACACTCACCATTACTATTTATTATTGCTGTTGCTGTCAATATTATTCATCTTATCCTTTGTTTCTGCTCTCAATCTCCCTTACACCTGCCCCTCCCCATAGGGGCCCATATGAATGCAGCTGTGACCTTCACCACCTGCGCTTTAGGTCGAATGCCTTGGAGGAAGTTTCCTGTGTATGTTCTGGGTCAGTTTCTGGGCTCCTTCATGGCTGCTGTCACCATCTACAGCCTCTTCTATAGTGAGTGTTCTCTCCCGGGTAGTCTGCCTCCAGTCTCAGCCTCTTCTGAAACATGGGCATATCAGGTCTTGGTCTTCCGGTTCTGTAAAAATGTCTGGGAGAAAAGGTCTTGGAGGTGCTCCCCAACCCTCACCCTACAATCTGGGATGTTGGTGGGGTATAACTCAATCTGTCTCCACAGCGGCCATTATCCACTTCTCCGGCAACCTTCTGACGGTGACTGGTCCCACGGCCACTGCTGGCATTTTTGCCACTTACCTTCCTGAACACATGATATTGTGGAGGGGCTTCCTGGATGAGGTCAGTAGTGTAGGGTGATAAAAGAAAAGATTCTGCATGGGGACTGTACCAAGACATGTCTCCGCCAGGGTGTTTGGATTTAGGGTACAATGCAGACTCCGTGGCTTGGCTAGGGCCTCAGTAGGCTGCCATGTCATCTACTCCCCAGATGTTTATCACAGGGATGCTCCAGCTGTGTCTCTTTGCCATCACGGACAAGGACAACAATCCAGCACTTCGAGGGACAGAGGCTCTGGTGGTCGGCCTCCTCATTGTCATCATCGGAGCGTCCCTAGGCATGAACTCAGGATATGCTATGAACCCGTCCCGGGACCTGCCTCCTCGATTCTTCACTTTCATTGCTGGCTGGGGCAAACAGGTGTTCAGGTACTGCCCTTGCCAAGCCCCATTCCTGTGAGTTTTCTGTGGGGCCCCTGCTTGCAGAGGGGTGGGGCAACCTGAGCAGCCGCCCAGGAGAGTCCTGCAGAACATCCAGATAGCTCAGGGAGCTGGGGTGGGTCCTGATGTTTTCCCAGACCAGCACAGATGTAGACCTTGCTCTGGGACTGTCAACCCTACCCCTGAATCAGGCTGAGGTGGGCCAGGGCCCCTGGCAAGGGTGTCTCTTGGGGTGACTCCTCTGCTCACTCTGTCTTGGCCTGAGGTAGATGCTAGTGCCACCCTGGGCATTGGCCTCCTCAGCAGTCCTGTCTTTTGCCTGCAGTGCTGGGGACAACTGGTGGTGGGTGCCAGTGGTGGCACCACTCCTAGGTGCCTACCTAGGTGGCATCATCTATGTCATCTTCATTGGCTCCAGCATCCCACGGAAGCCTCAGAGTTTGGAGAACTCCATGGTGTGCGAAGATCACAGGATAACTGAATTGCGCAAGACCAGCCCATCCACGACCTCCCCCATTGACCCTTCAATCCAGCCTGTCCAATCCTTAAGTGGCTCCATGCCTTTAGAGCAGTTCTAAGTTGAGACTGTCATCCCAACTCACCCTAATAAAGAAAGCCTTGTCCCACAGTGGCACCCTCACTTTGTGGGGCCTCCTGTGGTTGGGCTTCCCTCCTGGCTCCTTCCAGGAGCTCCAGTGTTTATGCCTTAGCTCAAGTATGGAGCATAGAGCTGAGAGGCCTCAACTCTCTCCAGCACAGGAGCTGGGGTGTTCCTGAGGGAGAATTGGGAGGAACTGACCTGTGGCCTTAGGGTGAGGTGACAGGCATAGAGGACTCTGAGGGGGGTGATTTGATGTAAGGCCCAGAACTAGCTGGGGGTGGGGGCAACTTTGGGCATATGTTGAAGGTATCTTGTGATAGGATTCTAGAGTTCCCCCCATTTGTCCCTTCTTTAGCCATGGCCAGTTCTTGGACCAGACAAAGCAAGATCAAGAGTGCAGATCAGAATTTCTCAACATTTTTTTTTCATTAGTGCCTTCAGCATTCTTTTAAATATTTTCTTAATGACATTTTTTTAATACCACAGGTATACTAAACCTATGTTTACTTATTCTATCCGTGCTTCATACATAAAAATGAGATTCTTTTCTTTCTTGTTCCAATTTTCATTCCCTTGGAGATGTGTGGTATGGACTGAAAGCTAGTAAGGGGTTGGACTTGTCTTCCTCCTTCCTGAAATAAGAGTTATCACACATTAAGGAGTTCCAGAGTTGGGAAGGAAGATGTAATGAGGGAAATATTTTGGATCAGTAAAAAAGCAAGAAAAAGTCTCACAGAGTTCACAGGAAACAGTTCCAGAGTCTGAGTGGCAGCTTGGCATCCAGGATATGTTGATGATGGGGCCAGGCAGAAACCAGCCATCCTGCTTTCTGGGATGTAGAAGGCAGCATCACTTGTGGTTCTTGTTGTTGTTCATATATTTAGCATTTACTGTGTGCAGACCATGCCTGGTCACTGAAGATGCCTAATGGCTAAGGCGAGGTCTCTACCATTAAGGAATGCAGTATAATGGAGGATAGGTACTAATGAAAAACGAGCTAGAAAGTAGGATGTTTAGAGCTCAGAGGGGGTCTTACAGCCAGCCTCCAGTCTTCTCAGAGGAGGAGGCAAAGTGGAGTGGGGATTAGGGTGTCCTTTCTGGGGCTAAGAGACATCTGACAGTTTGAAGGGACAGGAGTCAGAGGATGGGCTTCCTTCTGGTGGGAGAATGGTGAGATGATGGAGAAAGCCCACCTAAGCTGAGTGTGCAGGATGCAGGCAATGGGGGAGATTAGTCTACAGAGAACATGGAGAGAGGCAATAATCCATGAGCAGCAGCAGGTACCTACTGGGTCAGCACTGTGGGTGGAAATTACTGATGGGATTTGATCAATGCCTAGGAGGTATAACTAGCAGGACTTGGGCGTGGTTTGGATGAAGGAGTGGGTGAGGGACAGGGAGAAGTCAATGATGACTTCCGGTTTCTGGCTTGGATGTGGGGGGTTGGTAATGTCACCACTGAAAGCAGAACACAAGGGAGGACTGATTTGGAAAGGAAGATAAGTAACATCACAGACATTTGAGTTGCCTATGGCACTTGAGGGGGGTGGGTGAGAGACGTGTGATATCTTGGGCAAATTAATCTCTCTGGGTCTTGATCTTCTTATTTTTTTAATTTATTTTTTATGTAGTGCTGAGGATCGAACCCACGGCCACTGAGCCAAAACCCCAGCTTGATCTTCTTATTTGTAAATGAGGATAAGAGTATAACTTACCATGCTAAATGTGCTAATACATGTAAAATGATGAAAAACAGTGCTGCGCCAAGTAAGTGCTCAATAATTGCAGTTGAGCCTTTTATATGGTCTGGAGCTCAGAAGAGAGCTAAAGGCAGAGACTTCATGGCTTTGTGGAGATGTAATGTCTCATGGAAGAGTGAAAGGAGAGTCAGGGAGCAGGGCACAAGTTGGGTGGTCAAGAGGCACTGGTAGCAACTCAGATATCCACCAATAGAGGAAGAGATATACATTTTGCTATACAATCACCAATAACAGAATATTATACAACAAAGAAAATTAAGGCACAACAGGTACCTGTAACAATATGGAGAACATTTGAAGGCACAGAAAGCAATATAGTAGACACTATACAATATGATTCCAGTTTTTTGGGGATTGAGGATTGAACCCACTGGTGCTTAGCGACTGAGCCACATCCCCAACTTTTTTTTTTAAACATTTACTTTTTAGTTGTAGTTACACATAATACCTTTATTTATTTGTTTTTGTGTGGTGCTGAGAATGGAACCCAGGGCCTTGCACGTGCTAGGTGAGCGTTCTACCACTGAGCGACAACCCCAACACCCCCAACTCTTTTTATTTTATTAATTTATTTAAAAATATTTTTTAGTTAGAGGTGGACACAATATTTTATTTTTAAGTGGTTCCGAGGATCAAACCCAGTGCCTGACACATGATAGGCGAGCACTCTACCTCTGAGCCACAACCCCAGCCCTCTTTTTATTTATTTATTTTTTGTGGGGTGTCGGGGATTGAACCCATTTATTTTTTATTTTGAGACAGGGCCTCACTAAGTTGCTGAGGCTGGTCTTGAACCTGCAATCCTTCTGCCTCAGCCTCCTGAGTTGCTGGGATTACAGGCATGTGCACCCAGCTTGATTTCAGTTTTACAGATGAAAATCAAGAAAAATTAATATATCCTTCAGGGCACATACATATATGTGATAATACTGCTGAAAAAAAAATGATTTCCCCAGGGAGATAGGGGTGTTACCTAGAGCTCAAAGGTATTGTAAGCTTTTAATAATTTTCTAGTTCTGGGGCTGGAGGTAAATTTATGAATGTTATGCTTGTGTTTAGATGTGCTAAAACATTTAAAATTTGTTATGTGGTAACATAAATGTGATATATATTTATGTATGGATGGACCATGTAAATGTGATATGTATTTTTGTATGCATGGGTCATGTATCTAAAAACACAAAGAATAGCTGCAGAGGGCTGGGGATATAACTCGGTTGGTAGAGTGCCTTGCATGCTTAAGGCCCTGGGTTTTAATCCCCAGCACTACAAAAAAAAAAAAAAAAAAAGAAAAGAAAAAAAGGGAATAGCTGCAGTGTAAGAATTGGGGCTGGGGGCTGGGCATGGTGGCTCACTCCTGTAATCCCAGGAGCTGAAGTGGCTGAGGCAGGAGGATCACAAATTCAAGTCAGTCTCAAAGTAAAACATAAAAAGCAGGGAATGTGGCTCACTGGTTAGGCAACCCTGAGTTCAATCCCTGGTACCAAAAAAAAAAAAAAAAGATTGGGATTGGGGGTGACAAGTAGGGCCTGCTAAAATCACAGAGAATCCAGGGATGGAGGGGAGAGGCTTATGTCTGATGTCCATGCTGAGAGGAACAGAGTCAGGGGAAGCAGGGCCAACAGTGATCAGGGAAGGGCTGACAGTCAGCTGAACAGGGCCTCCCTCTTTGATCCTGTTGCATTCCTTTCCCTTCTCAGCTTCAGTGGTCCCATGAGCATGAGGTGGCCTTTTTCATTCCTGATATTTCAGAGGAACATGATCCTAAGACTTCAGTCACGTGAGAGGCAGGTCTCTGGGTCCTGCCCTCCTCTATCCCTCACCAAACACTCTGGCATCCTCATGTTCTCCGGAGGTGTTACTAATCAGTGTGGGGTGTTTTTCACTCAACTGGGGATAGAAATCATGAAAAGGCAAAGAATAGCTCTTTCTGATGATCCCAGCTCTTAGTGTTAACAGCTAATCTGAGAATTCTTTAGCTTAGTTGAGATAGAAATCACAAAGAGGCAAGCAATACCATCTGAATGAGGCTTTATTGGGGTGTGTGCTTGAGTACAAGGGAGACAGTGCATGGACAGGTTTCCTGAACCGTTTGCTGAGGACACCAGGAGCAAAGCTAACACGGAAGGGGTGGAATCCGGCAGGCACAGTCAGCTGTTGCACACTGAGCTCAGAATTTCTGCACACTTGATCTTTATTCTCAGCACCAGGTTTTTCCCTTGACACTGGGATCTGCACATGTGCACTCAGCTTGCAAAAATGAAGGAGGTGCTTACTCTGTCACCCCAAGGTCAGTTAAGTTCAGGCCCATTGTACATGTAAAGGATGCTGGAAAGCTTGGGGAAGGAGTGAGCAGCTCCTGAACTTGGTCATTGGTGGAAACAATTATTCAAAAACAACTTACATTGAGCAGGAAACCTGGGTGGGGGAAGCAGAGCCCTCCTTGCTGTTTCAGAAGCAGGACAGACAATAGGTCCATCTGCCTGCTTTCCACTGCCCTGCCACAACCTTGTAGGAGGTTTATTGCCTGTCCCTATTTTAGGTTCTGGTCCCAATGTCAGGCTCTGATGAGTCCTGACCGCAGTCACAGAGCAAGTCTTCCTATTCTCTCAGCAGACACTGGTTGAAAGCCTACAGTATGGCAGATGACATTCTAGCGTTGAGGATATAGGCACAAGGAAGACAAACAAAAGTCCTTGTTCTTACTGAACTCACATCCTGTGCAAAATACAAGGTATACTGATGATAGACACTAAGAAGGAAAATCAGGAAGGGGGAATGGGAAGTGTGGGGAAGTGAGAAAAGCACAAAACCTCATTGAGAAGACGATTTTGAGGAAGGACCTGGAGGGGCTGAAGGATGAGCCACGTGAACACATGAGGAAAATGTATGCTAAGCTGAAGAAATGGCTGGTGAAAAGCCACAAAGAAGGAAGTTAAGAGGGGCTGCTGAGCTGGAAGGGAAAGAAGGAGTGGGAAGTGGAAGAAGATGAGGTCAGAGAAGTGAGTGGGTGGACTGAGGACAGGCCCAGGGGAGGAGAGGACAAGGGTTGGGCAGGAGTGAGGGAAGAAGTCTCTAGAGAATGGCAGGTCCTAGTGCAGGAAGGAAGCAGCAGGTATGGGTGAGATGGGTATCACAGAACATGGGCTCTTTTTTTTTTTCTTTTTCATTTTTTTAGATGTTGATGGATCTTTATTTTATTCATTTATTTTTATGTGGTGCTGAGGATTGAACCCAGTGCCTCACACATGCTTGGCAAGTGCTCTACCACTGAGCCACAACCCCAGCCCACCTTATGGATTCTTGCTCTTGGCTGTGGGAATGTGTACCCCCCCCCCCCACACACATTTCTTTCCTCCATTCTCCCAATCCCAGCACAGACTGGTTATGTGATCTGAACAGTACCCTTCCACTCTCTGGGCCTTGGTTTCCTGTCTATTCAATGAAACTTGGATCTGTTAGTGTCTGCGGGTCTCCTAGCTCTGACTTCTGGCACTTTGTAGCCTCATGCTATGATCCCTCTCCATCCTGCCCCTTCTCCAGCTGAGATGGGGATAGCAATGGGACAGGAACAACTCCTAGTCCCAGGCAAGACCCTTCCAAGGTTTTGCAAAGGTTTGATCCTCCGCCTGGTGATCTCAGCTTGACCAAGAGCCTCTTATTCCCTGTCTGGCTCACTCTCTCTTTCTCCTAGGGCTTCTAAGGAAAAATAGCAGTACCCTGATCTGGCTGGTTTTACTGTTTCCTCTCTCAGATGGGTTCCTGAAGTTTAGGTAGCAGCAACCATTTTAG